AAATCATTACAAGAGGCCAAATGGGTCTCATTATAGGTTTGTCCGAAAGTGAATGATTTAGTATGAAATATTTTTTTGGATAAAAAAATAGAGGTGGTAAGTTTGATGAAGATGAAGGTGTGGTGAGCCCTTATTTCGGAAAATAGAGGATCGATGACCAATTTTTTCCTGGACATAAGTATGAAGTATGCAATATGTATGAAATTACAGTTTTCTTTAAAAATGTTGTAGATAGGCCTTTTTTCCAATATATATTTTTTCATTATTTTTTTGATCTGTTGGCATATCATAATCAGCAAAGTATACCTTTTAGTATACTGTTAGATATGCTGCTGATTTTTTCTGATTAAAACAGAAGAAGCATTTTGACTTACTTGATATGCAAGTGACTTTGGAAAAAAAAGACAAGAGAGTACTCCCAAAAATAGGTTAATTAGCTGTAAACAAGTTGTCGTAAACAGTACTTACAAATAGCTGCAGGCCCTAATATTCTCGTTGGTAATGCTTCTTATGTACAGATATTCCTATCCAATATCTATTTTAACTCAGATTATATTTTGCCCATCTGTTGCAAGACATCCCCCTCAAGCAAACCGAGTGGTGCAGCAGGTTTCATGTGCTATTGGCTGCCTGTTGTGATAGGCTGTATCTTTTCAGTGATCACAGGGAGGGCCAAGCAAGATAGTGCGAAACACTTGATTGCCTTGGGATGGACATTTGCATCCAGCATATAGGCCCATTGCTTCATGGTCAGAATAGAGTCCATTTGTCATGAAGAGATTAGAAAAGTTCCTGAATTTGATTGGTTGGAGAAGTACAGTATGAAGAAATTATTATGATTCAAAGAGAAACTTCAAAGAGAGACTGATGTACAGTAAAAACACATCAATCAAATGATTAGTACTTCATGAGTATTGTACATGTTTACAGTATTTCTAGTAGTCTTAGGAGGAGAGTGCAGGAACAAGTTAATTATTGTAACCTATAAAGTGTATTGAATGGTAACGTGCACTTTGTTTTAAGATAAAGGCATTAAAGTTATGATAGTGAAATTTTATTATATTTTTGACTTTTCTACAGGTTCAGTCATTGCGGTTTCTAATAAAGTTCATGAATGTTTTTTAACTGATCATATTTTTAAATTTTTTTAGTAATCCATAATCCAGTGTTACCAGGAAAAAGGAATGTTCATGGGAGTGCTTTGTCTCCGAGGAGTCATTTAGTAGACCTTGTGACTTTGCCTGAGTTTACTTTTCCTTGTTTTTGTGATTTTTTTATTTTTTACTAATGCTATTAATATTGATGCTGTTACTGTTTTTATAGACATTATAATTGTCTTAATTTTATTAACATTACTAATAACTGTAAACAAGAAATTGAGATATTTTCACAAAACAAGGAAACGGTTAAACAGGTTATATAGGTAGTATTGGTAAGGCACTCCTTGGTGATTAAATATTTGTAAAGACAACTGATAAACTAAACTCACAGTGGGCATGGCATGTATGTACTTGCCATTCCCGGCTGAATCAGGTTAATATAACATGTATGCAGGTTGTCACACTTTTGGTTGATGAAATTATATAAGCACGTAGGCAGCAGAAAGGTAACCCATAGAGGATAAAAGACAGAAAAGGAGTAAGTGTTTTTAGCTTGTCAATTATTATGTATCAGAACGATGACATTTGCATACAAGTAATCATGCAAGAATAGAATAGATAATTTGATTGGTAGAAAACACAAGACCTGAAGCTAGGCAGTGATATTTCCACTTAGGACAGATCAAAGCATTGTGTACATCAGCCGCTCATACCGTCCCAGGTGTATGGGTGGGTAAATGGAATGGTAATTAGCTTTTGTTTCTTATTACTGGTTATGTTTTCTAAACACATCCAGCATCTTGAAATCCCCCTCTCACTTCTCTTTACTGCACAACCATTTAACCCATGCTTTGGGGAAAAGCTGTGACTGAAAGTAACAGGCCATTTCCTGTTTAAAGATTATGTTTAACTCTTTGGTATGTGTTTCTTTTTTGAGAATGTATAAGGATGTCTTGCTGCAGAATGATGCAGTATGGAAGTTTACTGTCCTATTAAAAAAACAAAAAAATATATAAAACTATAGTTCTAATGTACCAAGCAAATAATGGTGAAAAATTTGTTGGAAAATAGAGGCTACTTGTGCAAAATGAACATTAAATCAAGAATATATCCATTTGAAGTACAACTTGATTTGATCAACTCAAGATGACGATTCTAAAATGTTCAGAAGTAATAATCGCACTTATTTTGTGTCTACAGGGAACCTTAGTAGCATGCTTAATGGGCATTCTGCAGCTTATGTCCGAGATACATTACACCAAGCTGTGGGAGGAGCACTTGATCTCTGGCACCCATCATCTGCGCCACCTTCTGTACTCGACCATTGTACTGCTGGCAGACCTTGTGAGAGCAGCAGTGTTTCCAAGTGACTGGTTTGTCATGCGCATGGTTACCAACCATACTATATTGACAGCCATGCAGGAGATTGCACAGCCACTGATTTCAACGTTTTTGAAGTCAGGAAGATTTGATAACCAGGTTGGCATTTTTCTTTTTTTCTTTTTGTCTTCTGTTCTTCATATGTTTTGAAAAATTATGATAAAATGATAATGATAATATTGATAATTATTACAATAACAATGTAAAAGAAATTGGAATGAGCTCATGATAACAGTATCAGTTGTAAATAATAGAATTGATAGTGATAGTATTAATTATGGTTATAAGAAATAGTAATAGTAATGGTAATAAGTAATAGTAATAGTAATAGTAATGGTAATGGTAATAAAGATTACTGGAAGCTAAAATAAAAATGAGAATTGAAAAAAGGACAGTGATGATTTTGATGGTATTAATAAGTAGAAATGGAGGAGATTTGCTACATTACAATTTTTTCAGGTTTGGAGTAGTTACCTGAATCTAGCTGTAGGATTCTTGACGCAGCCTTGCCTGCAGTTGGAGCACTTCTCACAGCAGAAACGTCACAAGGTTTTGGAAAGATATAATGACATGAGAGTCCTTATGGGCTTCCAGATACTTTCCATGTGGCATAACTTAGGTGAGGAGTGTTTCAAAAAGGGAAATCTTTATTTTATTAACATTTGTGAATAAGCATGGCATTGGTTTTGAGTGACATTGGTTTTCAAAAGACCTTGTTGCATTTAATCTGTCATAGTAAAAATTACATTAGATTAGGCATCTTCATCTTGTATAAATTTAGTTACAGAAAATTTTAAGTCAAAGAACTCATTTAAAATTGTTGAAATTGCATTTAAACTTTATTCATATGTTCACATGCAATTTTTATTTTTATTCTTATATTTATTTATTTATTTTTTTATTTTATTTTATTTTTTTGTGGGAAGAATACCTTGCATCATCCCTCTTAATCCCCCACAGATGAGCACCGGCTGCACTTCATACCGGGCATGGTGGGCCCCTTCTTAGAGGTGACACTAGTGCCGGAGCCAGAGCTACGCAAAGCAACCCTGCCCATATTCTTTGACATGATGCAGGCAGAACAACAGGCAAAGGGCAATTTCAAACAGGTTAGAATCATCAAATTTTGTTATCTAACATCTGAAATTTTGCAACCATTCAGTGATTATACATTACGATTAGGCTGAGGATTGCTTATGGGAAAAATAAAGATTGGTTTGCACAGAGAGAAATTTTATGTTAACTGATATTTAAACCCCAATGAGCATACCATTTTTCTATTTTTATATTCTAGCAAATATTCTCAATTTTACAACAGTAAAACCAGTACACTGAGCTTCTTGATATACCAAGTGTTGCTGGCAGTAGAGAGGAATAGTTGAATATTGTATGTCACCTAGCATGAATGGGTTAAATTTCTGATAAAAGGATGACATGTATGGATGGTGACCAATATCAGCAACATATGTTTTGAAAATAGAGAGTGCAGCATCTGTAACTTTGCTAGAGGCAAACAGCTTGTTTATTTTTGGACAGATAATTAGTTTGTGTTAAGTATTATTTGTTAATAATTTTTTTCACTTTTTTCAGGTTGAAACGGAACTTATAGATAAGCTTGATATTTTGGTAAGCGAAAACAAGGGTGATGATGAATACCGTCAGCTGTTTAATACTATGTAAGTAGACTTTCGCATTTGATGTTTTATTATAATTGATGGCTACTTGAATTTAAGATGTAATACATTTGATATTGGAAATAAACGTCTTATGGAATCAAGAGAAATATTTCTAATGAGTTAATACATAAGAAGTTGATATTTTTGTGTTTTATATAAAGAAGTTGTATTATGATTTACTCGTTAAGAGAAAATACTTTAGAAAAGGGTGTAATATATTCTAAATGCCTTCTAAGTACTTTGATAATGTCAGCATTATTTTTTTCCATGCAATATCTTATAGGGAACATTTAAGTGCTGTGTAAGTTAACATACAATCTTTTTTTGTAATTTTAGTGAATACTCTTTTATCTGTAGATTATTAAAAGTCTTAGGTTTATTGCTTGTTTTATCTATCTATGATTTTCATGTTTTCTTTTGCCTGTTGACATTTTTCAGTCTGTGTTTGCATACTTCTTTGTTTATCTATAGATCCGTTCTGTCTATGTCTCAAAAGAACATTATTTAGTTTTGAGTAGATATGAAATAGTAGCTCTCTCAGCACTGCAAATTCTAGATTTGTTGTTCATCAATCACATCATTTCCTAAATCCTCTCTGACCCTAAAATATCGGTAAGGAAAGCATTAATAATGGCTGTCATAAATTTTTTCTGTACTAAGTTCCAATTAGTTATTGCAGAGACTATTTTTACAAGACTTAAGTGACAGCGTATTCCAAGTCAGGTCTGTCTTCAAGTTATTATAAATAAATAAACTATAAATCTGTATGTTCAGGTGGATTCCTGTGAGAACTTTTACTCTGTGTAGTTACTTTATAACTCTTTGTGTTGTACAGCGTTGAATTTTTCTTGTGATCCTTTTCATTATATTGCATGACATTCTAGATGCACACTAAATGCAGTTGATATATGACCGGTCTGAATAGGTTTGTCTCATACCTTATCTCTTTCTGACAGACTTTTGGAGCGCGTGCGTTCAAATGACCCAGTGTGGAGAGAGAGTGGAACAGCTTTTATCAACTCTGTTACAAGGCTCTTAGAAAGGCTGTTAGACTACCGCAGCGTGATGCAGGGGGATGAAAACTGTGACAAGAGAATGAGTTGCACAGTTAACTTGTTGGTAAGTAATTATGATTTGTTATTAAGATACAACAGTATTATTTTACACTTGGGTGTATTTTGAAAACAAAATAATATATATGATCTGAGGTATGTCTGCTCAGAAGAAATTCTAAATGATTGATATTTTTAAGGCTTTTATCCTAATTTTGGGTTTGCTTTCACCATCACAAATATTTAAAGATTGCGTTTATGTCAATAAGATTGGTATACCGTATAATGTAATCAGTAATTTTTGCAAAAATATTAACTAATTTCCTCCCCATATTTTCAGAACTTCTATAAGAATGAAATCAATCGACAAGAAATGTACATTCGATACATCTATAAGCTCCATGATCTGCACCTCCCAGCTGGAAACTACACAGAAGCAGCATTCACTCTGCAGCTACATGCAGATCAACTCTCTTGGACACAAAGGATGCTGCATGCAGATCACCTATATCAAGCACAGACGGAAACCCAGCGAAAAGAGCTAATTTATATGAAAATCATAGATTACTTTGACAAGGGCAAGGTATGTAGATTAACTTAATTTTACTGGAGATCATGAAATAACCCAACAAAGATATACTTACCTAAGAAAATGATTTTAACATTGTTGTTTGAGAAAGGTCAGATGATACATTTACTGTTGATTTGTTTTATTTAACCCACTGGATCTGGTTACGTCACAGAAATCACTTTACCCAAAATCCAGGGATTAGGCTTACATGAGCAGATGCTCTGCCAGGTGGCTGCTTGTAGGCCGGGCACATGCAAACATGTGTACAGTGACAAGACTCTATGCCTCCTATTTGCAAAGTTATTTACTCTTTTTACACATTTTAGCTGTTTGACCAATGTTCAATGTCCATATTTGCCATTTGATTTGCATTATTCAAATGGTAATAGTTTTTTTTCTGTGCACAGGCTTCATATCATCCCTCTAGGTACTCTGCAACTCAGTGCAAGAAAATTAAAACAATGTAGCAGTGTTATTTGTGTCAGTTTATAGATTTGTTTGTAATATTAAATTTTCCGTTATATAGCCTGCGTTGCTGGTCATGGCACCAGGAATATGGTGCTGAGCATGGAAATGGAGTCTTCCATGGAGCTGGCACTCTTCCAGTCACCAGTCACTGACATTACATTCCACACTAGTACATCAATGGGAATAATGCATAATTGTCAGATGTGTAAAATAAGCCTCCAAAAAGGTTTGTGCGGCCATGGCAAGTCTTTTCTGTCTTTCAGCCAAAATGCTCTCGATGGCAGGTTTGTGTTACCTGCCCCTCAAGCCAGAATTTTTCATGATGTGATGGTCATGTCATCCGGATCCAAGGGGTTAATACTTCCTGAACAGATGGATATTTATGTTGTCTCTATCTTTCAGTGCTGGGAGCAAGGCATTCCCCTTCTTGAAGAATTAGCAGGACAGTACAAAACCAGGTTGTTTGACTATCAGAGACTAAGTGAGGTATTAAAACGTCAAGCTTCATTCTATGAGAAAATACTTAGTGGCAAGAGATATGATAACGAATATTTCCGTGTTGGATTTTATGGCCTGGGTCTTCCTCTTTTTGTGAGGGTAAGTTTTGTGCATAGTGCATCTCTGATTTCACTCTAGAGTAAGACTTGGTTGTGGTAGCCATCAGTCTTGAAATATATTTATTGGAGTTTAAATGTTTCACACTGCTTGTTTGTTTGAAGAAAGTGATTGGAAGCATAACTGATATCAGTCTGATTGAAGTCAATTCTTACTTTTCCCTTTTCAGAATAAAGTGTTCATTTATCGTGGATTAGAGTATGAGCAGATTGTGGCCTTCACCCAGAGGATTCAGACAGAATTTCCTCAGGCTAAAATGCTCCACCACAATACTCCTCCTGATGATACTATTCGCTCATCTGATGGACAGTACATCCAGGTAAATTTAACTTTTTATTATTGATGTTAAAATGTCTTTTTTTGTGTCTCAATATTTTTACTCCTTATGATATGTTTCTTGATTTATTATTTTACACATTTTATTAAACATTTACAGTATCCAATGGTAACCAAGGGAGCCATAATCTCTTGTCAGCCATGCTCCAGCCAAGCATCAAAGTTTGTAACTAAAATTGAAAGTGACCCTGTAAAATGTGCACTATTGCAGCCTAGCTCTTTCAGACACCTCTTGTCTAGTGCATTATTCCTTGCAGTCAGTGGGCCAAACAAGTCACTCCTTTTATATGCTAGTAACATTGCTGCTTAGACTAGAAATGCAGTCTGTAGTTTGTTTTCCCAAGTGGCATCCAATAGCATAGAGTTTTACTCTTTGTTTTGTGGAAGTGATCTTTCTTAAGTCTTTGAGACTTCCTGTAGAACTTCTTGACTAGCAAGTAATCTGGAAGATGATGCTATATAGGGAGATCACAGTAAAGATCCTTGAGTGTTTTGCCCTTTAAAGTGCCAAGGCGGCCAGACTGTAAAGCATTATTTTATAAAATGAATTAGCCCATTCATGATAGACAAGATTTTAAGTAAAGTTTGGCAAGGCTAAGGTGTGTTAGCACATACTGCTTCCCACATAGGCTGTTGTTTGGTTCATAGCTAGGCTCCTGAGGCATCATCCCAACCACTGGGACCCAGGCTCTCACATAACTAGATGTCATGTAGAGTGAAGGAATTTTTACCATGACGTGATTAAATGTCACTAAGCATGATGGTTACTTTTTCAGTCATGCCTTAATCCCAGTGTGCTGGTTGTCACTTTATTACCTTCACATAACAAGCTGTTGCTTATCAACCGAAATATATAACTGCGTAAACCTAACCCCACAGGAATTCCAGAATATAGTACTTTTAATAATATCATGTTTATAACATTTGAATTTATTTAAATCAAGCAAAAATATAGTAGAGTAGTCCATGTACATAACCCACAGCTTGCACGGGTTAAAATCACCTATAATATCAGCAGTTATTTATATTCTTATGTAAAACAGTTTTGATAAAATATCTTCACCACCTCATAGTTCAGCAGTTTTGAAGAAAAACAACTTTAAACCTCCATAAGATGTGAGATTGCAGTAGAACCAGTCAAACTGTGAATCAAAATTATATGTCTACGCTTCTTATATTTTACCCATTGCTGCTGAGTGTGTGTACTGTTTGTCCAGTATAGTCGATTAGTAGGCCTATGTGACTTCAACTGATTCTTTTTTCTAATGCTTTTAATATCAATACTGTTATTATTATTATTGACATTTGGATTACTGTAATGTTATTAATTATACTGATAGCAAAAAATGAGTAAAAAAAAAGAATCATAATGATTATCAAGGAGAAGGGTAAACAGGCAAGATAGGCAGGACTTGATGACTATAGCTCTTGTGGATCTGTCTTTGAAGAGAGAAAATAAATAAGCTGAAATCATAGTGGACACAGCATGCACTTACATGCCTTGCCAGCATCAGTGGTTTAAGGACAGTAAACTTTTAAGGATTTTAACTGCTTTTTTTTCTTTTCTTTTCTTTCTGTTTTTCATTTTCAGACTACTCCATCCTGTAAAATGTAGATGAGATTAATGTAAGAACAAAAATTTCCATCAGTTTATAACATATAGTATTAGTTGAAAGAAGTGTATACATTTGATATTTTTCCTGTATTAAAAAAAAAAATGTAAAATACACATTTAGAATAGTTTTTCATTTATCATCAGTGCTGTTCTTTGCTTTCCATAATTTTGAAATATTTCCAAAGTCAGATATTTCACGTAGCAATTCTCTTACAAATATCATGCAATTTTTTTGCTTGGTAGTAATCACAGTAACGTCAGAGCTGTTGTTTTACTTGAATTATGTATTGTTATTTCTTCTTTTTTTTCCTAAGGAGTGTTTCTTGCAACCCATTTTGGAATTTGTGAATGTTCAAAATAATCCTCTCTGGCATTTTTTGTGATGTTTCAAATACCTTTCAAAATTTCTTTAACTAGCTCTTGAAAATTGCTCTTCAGATGATGCCAATTACAATTGGATATTTTTGTTCCTGTTGAAGAGATTATTATAATCTTTGAATAATACATAAAGTGATAATATGCATTCAAGTGATTCATTTATTTGATAGGTTGTGTGTGTTTGAAGTTTATATTGGATTACAGACATACATTCATTCACTCATTCATGTATGAATGAATGAGTGAATGTATGCATACACATATACATATCCATAAGGATATAGAGTTACATATGCATCTGCATTTGCATGCATATGCTTACTCATATATGCATATGTGGTCATAGACACAGACACAGACAGGCAGAAGCAGACAAATATACAGACTCAGACTCAGACTCAGACTCAGACATAGTCACAGTCACAGTCATAGTCACTGTTTCCAAAACTGCAGTGTTGAATTGATCCTTACAGATCTGTGCTGTGAAGGCAGTCCCAGAGCCAAATCCAAAGTTTGAGGGCATTGAAGTTGATGAAAGAATTCTCAAATATTACACTGTGAACCACGTCCGCCACTTTGTGTATGACCGACCTACATACCGTGGACCGGCAGATAAAGAGAATGAGTTTAAGGTAAGAAGAATGAATTTTTCAGCTTTAACCTGTCAGTGATGGTATCAGAAATCTCTGGGCATCATTGACACTGGGGATTTCTGGCAACCGTCCTGCCCTTTGGCCCAGGAGTCCTCTACCTGTAGTGGAACTTTCTGCTCGACTTGCTCTAGCAGGTCATGATACCTATAGCCATACCTGGCATGATGAGGAAAATTGTTTTCACATTTGTATATTTTGATGTATAAGCTCAAAATTTAAATGAAAGTGGAATTGATTTATAAAAGGTTTAGTGTTATTTGCCAGTAAATATAGTTGTAGTATAATTCTTGGCGGAGTGGTCTCCAATTTTACTAATCTTTACAAATAAATACCAGAACTTATGGATTGAGAGAACTACATACACAACTGAATGTGAGCTGCCTGGTATCCTCAAGTGGTTTGAAGTAGTTGAACAAAGGATAGAACAGTTGTGTCCACCTCAGTATGCTTGTGAAACTGTGGAACGCAATAACAAACAGATTCGCCAAGTTATGCAGCACTATCGTGCCAACCCTCAGGTATGTACTGAAAGGAATCACAGTTACCTCAGTTTTTGTTCATTGATAATGTGGAAGTATTCTCTGTTAAGATCATCCCTCTGCATCTATTTTAGTATTGTAAATATTTTTATTAATCTAATTATGACTTTTTAACAAGTTTGAGAAGTTATCACTAACACTTCACATTGTAGTAGGTACTTGCTTCATACTATGTATATTGTAATTTCTGTTAAATTTTGCACAGATTTTTAATCACATGGTTTATAGCCTTAAATACTAATCTCATTTTTTGTAGGCTGCATATTTGGTATCTTACATTTATAACTTCCAATTGTTTATAACAACTATTGTTGTTATATTCATTTTCAACAAGATATTTCTGACACTGCACTGTATCCATGTGGTTTAGTATGCATAAGTATCTATTTAGATATCATATTCCCACAATAATGATTCGTGATCATCTAGTATTTAATGCATAATTAGTTTTATTTAGATATACTCAATGTTGTAACATATGGTATTTATATCTAGCTGCTTAAGCTTCTCATTCAAGTTATTTCATGTTGAGATTTATGATGTCCACATGTATTCCAGATCTGGAATACAGTTTACAATTTGAGGAATTCCAGTAGTCGTTCCCTTATGTGACTGTATATATGACCTTAATGCAACTAGAATCTGAAACCTCTATCAAAATTCTCCCAGATTCTTCCCACGTCTTTTAGTAAGGTCAACTATCACGGCAAACAATTTTTCCCACATAGGATAACATTCAGCCCTTCACAATGAGGCTTCAAGGCACCATTGATGCAGCTGTTAATGGAGGGATTGCAAAGTACCAGGATGCCTTCTTTGGGCCCGACTACCTGGTTGTGTATCCTGAGTACGCAGATCATGTTAATAGACTCAAGGTCCTCATATCAGATCAGGTGAGAGAAGTTCACGATCATGGTTATTGTTGTTATGATTATTATTATTATTATTATTTTGTTGTTATTGTTACTATTGCTGTTGTTATTATTGTTATTATTATTAATGTTATTGTTATTGTTATTATTATTATTATTAATGTTATTGTTATTGTTATTATCGTTATTATTATTATTATTATTATTATTATTATTATTATTATCATTATTTTATTATATTTTTTTCAATTATTATTATTATTATTATTATTATTATTATTATTATTATTATTATTATTATTGATTAGTAGTATTATCTCTCAGTGAGAGGACCTTCCTAAAGGCTAGCACCATATAGCAACCTCTCACTGATTGTCCATAGGAGAATGGCAGCCATACTATGTACAATTGTTTGCAGAGGAATTAATCCAGTAAAAGCAAATACAGGAGGGTTGAAAATATTGGTATTCAATATAGAACATTCTGCCCCTGTAGTACCTCTCTTCTTAGATGTAGACAGAGACAAACATGCGCTCACTTGCTCGCTAGTTCATTCATTCACTTATCATTCTCTCTCTCTCTCTCTCTCTCTCTCTCTCTCTCTCTCTCTCTCTCTCTCTCTCTCTCTCTCTCTCTCTCTCTCTCATCTCTCCTCTCTCCTCTCTCCCTCTCTCCCTCTCTCCCTCTCTCCCTCTCCCTCTCTCTCTCTCTCCTCTCTCCCTCTCTCTCTCTCTCTCTCTCTCTCTCTCTCTCTCCCTCTCTCCCTCTCTCCCTCTCCTCCCTCTCTCCTCTCTCTCCTCTCTCTCTCATCTCTCTCTCTCTCTCTCTCTCTCGTCTCTCTCCTCTCTTCTCTCCCTCTCTCTCTCTCTCTCTCTCCGTCTCTCCCTCCCTCCCTCCCTCCCTCCCTCCCTCCCTCCCTCCCTCTTCTCTGTCTGTCTCTGTCATTTGCTTTCTATCTTTATGTCTGTCTCTCATTTTCTCTAAATTTTTCTGACATTAATCCTCACACTCGCTCACACACCCTTACCCTTACCCTTACCCTTACCCTTACTCTTACTCTTACTCTTACTCTTACTCTTACTCTTACTCTCACTCTCACTCTCACTCTCACTCTCACTCTCACTCTCACTCTCACACTCACACTCACACTCACACTCACACTCACAATTTATACGAGTGTAGTATATATGTATATATTCAACATAATATGTTTGAACTGATACCACTGTAGTTCTATAATTTGAATGTACTTTATTGTAATCCAAAAATTGTGGAATGTACAGTAGAAGGTTGAATAGTACCTTAGAAATTACTGTAGCCTCCTCCTGCATACTTGTTTATGTCTATGAAAATGATGTAAATATTCTTGTTCCTGTTAAAACAAATTGTCTGAGACAAAGTATCCTTACAGACCATGATCTTGGAGGGAGCACTAGAGCTCCATGGCAAGATTGCACCGCCAGCTAATCAACCTCTTCATAGAAGATTAGTAGAGGTATTGTATCAAGCATATCTTTCATATAGATTTGTATTGATAATTTTAGAGGTATATTTGATTATATTTTGAAGGTTCTGTAGCAATAGGATGTTATTCATTATTCAGCCAAATGTTAAAAATTAATTGAAAAGTTGATGTACTTATTTTATTATACTGTGTTGTTATTTGCCAAAGTTTTAAGGTATATAAAGAGACACAAAAAACAATTCTGTTCATGGATTAAATCACCAAAATAAACTTTTTGCAGGTTTTTGAAGGTTTACGAGCAAAAGTACGGAAGATGTGCTCAACCCCCCAGTCCCAGCGATCGACTTCTTCTCTCCAGTCAACTCCCCCACCGCCTCCAACCCACAGGAGGGCAGACTCTGACCCTGCTACAGAGTTCAGGAGAATGGGATCAATTATCAAGTATGGAAGGCAATATTTTAATCATATTTTTGTAGACTACTTTCTCAGAGTAGGCCTAGATATATTTCTGACAATGGAGTGAATAACATTTTAATAATTATCAGTGTTTTCTGTTTTTCAGTGAATAAGTAATGGAAGGTATCTGTGGTAGTGGCTCTGTATTATCATCTGGATTACTGAGCCATTTTCATGCATGACTGATTATCACTCCTATATTATTTGAAGCAGATGCATGTGTGTATGTCATTTGGCAATCTCAGCCACACCCAAAGATAAGGCCTACTATTATTTGTGGATTGAAATCTCTCTCAAAGTAAGACACCTGAAGGATTGGCATTGTGATTTTTTATCAGCAGACTGATTAAAGCATCATTCATCAGCCACAGGGAACAGTGCACCAGGCCAAAAAGAAACAAAAGAAACTTCCATAGACTTCCATTATCATTCCTTTGTGGATGGCAAACTAAGTTTCATTCAGTTAGATATCTTACTCTATGTCAGGTGTGGTTTCTAAAATGCTGCCTAGAATCTGGATACAGTGAGGGATACTATATACATTTGACAATGAACAATATCATATTATAGATAACAATATGCATAGGTTACCAAAGGTTACCAAAGAAGCCTCAAAACATATAGGGGCCCTAATCAATACAAATGATAAGAGTAACTTCCATGTAGGCATATCTGCATAGTAAATGGCCACTTGAGTAATTAGCATTGTCAGAGCCATGCAGTGAAGTCCCCTGAAAAGTAATGAGACATGAAAAAGCTGACAGTAAAAGACTCAATTTTTCTGCCACATCATACAGTCTACTTTCTTTGTATTTTAACCCTATAATGATGGTATCAGAAATCTGTAGGTGTCACTGACTCTGGAGGCTTCTGGCAACCGTCCTGCCATTTAGCTATGTAGCAGAACTTTCTGCTCTGTGCGCTCTAGCGTGTCGCAATGGTTATAGCAGTACCTGGCATGTTGAGTTGGTTTGTTATGATAGCTATGGGTGTGCCCTAGTGGATATGGGTTAAAGAAATAGATGCTATTGTGGTGGTATGAAGGGTGGACATGATTGAAATTAGGTGCGCCTTGTATCCACCCTTCGAAACTCAGGCGAGGAGGCATTACTTTAGAAGACATTGGTTAGTGGAAGCCATGCTGGTTGTTCTGCAAGAAATTTTATATATTGACATGTAGCCATATGAATGATTGCAGTGTGAATAGAAAAAAAAGGTAGTTTGCCATGATTTTGAAGACCATATTGGTACCGCTGTCAGGAGATGAGAATGGTTAGAAGTGAATTCATTGATAAATAAATGACGTGAAAATTTTCTTCTACATTCCTGATTTAGAGCTCCTCATTTCAGCTCCCCTTTGCCACCACTGCCATCTGATAAGTGTGCTGTTAGTGTAAGTTCTTCCTCTACATCCGGCCACTCCTCGCAGAGATCATCGCAGGCATCCTCACTGTATGCTCATTTCCACTCAGCTTCTCATGATGATGAGTTGTATGCCAAGCCTCAGGTAACATACCGCTCTTTGTTGTGGAGTTCTGAATAGTGCATCATATAATCTAAATGTACCTCAGTCCCTTCCTCCTTTCTCTCTCCAATCCATCTTGACTTTTAAGCCATTGATTTACTTTTATCAGGAATGGGACGAGGGAGTTGCCAGTATGCGCGACTCACGGCCCCGATCTGCCTTTATTACGGATAGCAGAGGCTCGTCCCCAAAGTCTCTCTCCAAGTCCCTCAACAATGATTATATGATTGTACCTTCTCAGAAAATGAGGTTAGTCTCAAAAAAAGGAAAAGATGAAGAAGTAATACAAACTTCAAATAATTTGTTAGCTGCTGAACCCAATTTTATGTGACTGTTTGTGCAGATTTATATATTAATCAACATTAACCTGTTTTTTCTATGCTACAGTTAACTTTCAGTAATGTTGACTTTTTTGCTAAAATTTATTTTTCTTAGCAGTTCTGATGAAAACAGACGGTCTCGCCACTCTCGTCCACCAAGCCCTCATTCAGCTAGAATCTCTGGTACTCATGACTCACTCAACACTTCATGGAGTGATTCTCATGGATCACAAGAATCTCTTCCCCCTCTCCCACCAAGAGGTATGAGCCTCAGTAAGCATTTGTCTTAGATAAATTTTTGTACAAATTCGTTTCTTGTTATATTCTGATAAGCTGCTGCTTCATATATGTCTGGTAGAGTCTCTTACTTGACAAGATGTGGTGAAACATTTACCTGTTCAGTAGCTAATGTATGCAAGACTGAAAACAAGATCAAGAAGTCTATTATGTAGTATATATAAAAGAAAAAAGGCACACCATAGAAAATAATCATGTGCTTTGTATGATTTAAAGATTCAACCATCATCCCAAGGGAATATGTTGATAAGATCTTCCTAGCAGTTCTCAAGAAAAGCAGGAAAATACTGCAAATGAAGCTATGTAATTGCTAACCTGATTCTCATTTTATTTCATATCAGATAATTAGGGAGGCATGTAGTGACTTTGCTTCAGGAATCTGTCCTTCAAAAGCCATATTAGCTGTTCACTAATTGAGTGGAGTATTATTATTTAGAAATTATCTTGCTGCACCTCATCTTAACCCAGTTGGCATGAATGGGAAGAATATATGCCATGCCTACTGTAATATAAGTTCATTTATTATCTTTACTCAAACATGGCTGTACAAATGCTAAGTCGCCAAAAAGTCAGTTATTAGTCCTACCTATCACACCTGTTTACCATATTCCTTGGTCTTTGGAAAGTGTCTTTTGTATTATTTCATTGTCTTTAATATTACCAAGATTTTAATAACAGTCTCTCCATTTATTATCTGGTTCAGATGTCAGTCACAAGGCCTCACTTATTGCAAAGAAGTGGCATGGATGACTACTCTCATTCACCCAGCTGATTTGAGTTAAAATTCAGTGATAAAGCACATCTCAAATCCGAGTCTACATGAAAATTGTTATGCAAAACAAATTTACATTAATATATTTTGGAAAAATACAATAGGACAAATGAAATTTCTCTACTGTTAGATGTGTTTGAGAAATGGAGTACTCCAAGAATCTCTCCCCAATTACAGAACTAGTGTCTTAACCAATGATAGTAAAAAGACTACACCAGATACTAGTGTTGAAATTCACAGTTGCCACTGTGTGTGTTTTTTGTCCTTTACGAATTTGTATATTAATTTGTTTGGTAACCTATATTGAAATAAGAGATACTTGTAACTAAAACTGGTTTACATTGAAAATATAGATTTGATGAATATTTTAAAGATTTTTTGGCATATTTGTGAACTTCCGCAAATATGCCTCAAAGGTAAAATGAGAAGACTATTTATGTCACTTTACGTAGATCATTTTCCAGGAAACGAAAGACAGACTCGTTCAGTTAGCCTTGGGGGAGAGGAAGACGCTCCTCCTCCAGTGCTCCCCAAGAGGATGGGCAAGAAGGTACGTGCTGCCAGTTTCAACATGGGGGACAAGATCAATAGCTTGTCTGAGTGATGTAGTTGATGTAGGAAGGAAGCTCCTGATAACTCTTTTCATTGTATGATGGTGCTACAAGAAATTATACTTTTTTAGCTTCATGTAATTTGTGACACAGAAATGTTGCTTGAGGCCTCTTTGGAATCAGTGTGTTTTTTAGATTAACTGTACATAGAGATTGCTGGAGTGCAGGCCATGTAGTTTGTGACAGAAATGGAGTTCATTCATAGTATTCTGAAGTACAGTATGCACATTTTCCTTTCTCCTCCATTGTTATTTACCACCACAACATAACTTTGTACAGTGCTCGTCGCCTGCCATGTTTGGGTCTGATCAGCTCCTGGGTGATGGTGTGGATGGAAGCAGCAGTAGCGGCGGTGGCCTCAGTAACGGCTTTCCTGCCTCCACCCCTGGCACCCCTCCGTTGCTCTCACCGCGTAACCACCGCACTCCCCCACCACCACCTATACCTCCCAAGTCAACTTCTACCCCACTCACTCCACTGTCACCACCCTCAAGCTTCACCCTCAACACTTCTGGTGATGACTTAACACCTACCACACCAACTAATATATACATAGGTGATATAGAAAATACGCATCCCAGTCTTCACGAGAACTATTCCGTGCCACCTCGACTTCAGCCATATCCTCCACCATCTTCCTGAATCTTCTTGTGCTTTTCCCTAGAAGTGCTGGTGTTCGCATTTTGATGTGTTGGTATGGTTTCTATTTGGAATTACTCACATAATTCTGTTTTATTTTCAACTGTGTAATTTGATTTTAAACCCAGATATGGTATCATATTTATTTAGGCATGCATATTTGGGTACAATTATAGTAAAAAGTTATTGTTCACATAAAATTTCATGAATTCCATTATTTGTTATAAGCTTAAATCTAGTGACATAAAAAAATCTAAGAATAATTTAGACATGTATACTTAAGTAAAAAGAAAAAAAAATCATATCATATAGCCATAATGTATGATGTTATAATTATCATTTATGTGAGTACACTCAATAACATACACAGAAAACACCTTATTTTCCTTCCATAACAAAAAATAGACATACAGCCTCTTTGTCTGTCTTTGCCTCTGTCTGTCTCTTTCTCTCCCTCTTTCATAATCTCAGTGTGTCTCAGTAACTGAATTACAGTCTCAGATTCAGTCTCAATCTCTCACATTCTCATTCTCATGCACATATTGTACACATCTGTATTTTAATCATACCAATACATGATTACTTTCTGTTTCTCCCCAGGAAAGTGTTTGTGAATGCAAATCTTACTGTTTTTCATCTGTGGTCAACATCTTGCCTTCTCTGCTTCCATTTTATATATGATCATACCCAATCATCCTAAATCTTGCTCCACAGTTGAAATCTGACCAACTGTTGAGGTTTCAATGGAGTCTTGTCCATACTTATTCTAATGTTCTAATTTGAAAAAAATAACCATGTTGGAATAACTCAAAAGGAATCAAAACCTGATCTTGAGAAAAGGTATAACCTACCTTGTCAAGTTGACTTCATGAAACTGGATAAAGTGAAGCATGTGTATGGTTACATATTTCATTATAGAATATCTTTTGATAAGTAGGTTATGAAAGGAACTGAAATTATATTGTTTTTCTTATCATGGCCTATTATTAACTGTATGGACAAGATGCTTGTATTGCTTAGTAGACTGGCTGTGTCTTAAATCTTTGTCTTTATTTTATTTAAAGTGAAAAAAGCATATCAGGATGATTTTTACTTTTTTTTTCTGGGAAAAAGATGTCCGGTAAGATAGTTTGCACTATCAGTCTCTGACTAGAATAACATAAGTTAAAAAAAAATCAATATATCAAAAGTACAATTTAGCATTATGACAGGTAATACTGATATTCTTCTGACTACATTTTTTATTGTTTTTGATCAGATAACAATTAGTGATCAAGATGAGCCAACATGTGATTGATGCACATGCTCTGAAAATAGCAATATTTCAATCAGACAATAAAACGGATCTGAAGGGGAAAATATCATTAATAATCATTTAGACTTCATTGATGCAAGTCTGGTCTACATATCATGTCAGCTAACTTTGGTTTGGTTAGCTTTAGTGTGACTATTTACTCTACCAATATAATGGCATCTAGCTGATCCTCAATACTGTTCTGGATTAGAATGGAGTGAATGTATATGATAAGGTGTTCTTTTTCCTTTGTCCTCTTTTTTATATGTGAAATAGAAATTTAACCTGCAAGGAATCTGTATAAAAGTATATATAATAGAAGACTAATTTTTGCATATTACATAGTAGTGATATAGAAAATTAGAGGCTTTTGATATTGTAAGTTGATGCTTAGATCTTGAAGCTATTTATTCATACATGTTAGACCATCTGATTCTGTTAAGAACTGTATTTACGTCTAGTCACTGCCGAAGACAAACTTAGGCTGAAATTATGGCTAGTTTAGTTAAGCCTTAGAAATGCTATGATATTTTGAGATGACAAATACTGAATACTATGAATGAAATGTGAATGGAGTTATGCATTTGTTTACTGTTACTTTTTTTTTTGTTTTGTTTTTTGTTGTTTTGAAAATCTTTTTATTATTATTATTATTATTTTTTACCCTTTGTTTTCAGTATGACCTGTATATACTTGTGTTTCATTGATTTATTTATAAATAATTTTTAAGATAGATCATTCATAAAGCATTTGTTTATTAGGGTTTCTCTAAGCTGACAACAATGATCTGATAAAGGTGAACTGAATCTGGTTTCAAGTTAAGTTTGTTTTTTCTTTATACACAAGAGATTGTGGCCACTGCTTTGAAATAGCTAGTGCCATACTTGGTGTTGAGTGTCTGCCGGTAGCCATGAGCTATATCTTATATGATCAATAGTTTGCCGCAGTAGTACAGGTTGTCAATACAAATACGATGTACTCATGGTGTAGACCTTACAGTATTTTGTATATAGAGGAAAAATAAAAGGTGCTCCATCTTGCCTTTAGAGATTGTCTTTAGGAAAGCATTTTCATTTGTATAATAGATCAAAATGTATAGTTATCTAACTTTTATGTTATGAACTGCATGTGATGATATATGAGTATGCACTGTATACTATATTATTTTATAGAGTAGTATTAATATCTGTATTGTCACTAGGAAATAATTTCATGACTATTTTGTTGATCTTGATATGCATTTAGCATAATACATCTTCTATTGAACTATACTTCTTTTGTGTTATTTCTGTATCTGCAATATTGTATACTTTATTTTAAAATTTAGTTTTTGTTCTGTGCATTATTTGATGTTTAAAGTTTATTT